GTAATTTTGTGTGCAATTTTACTTACACTGTATGATACGCGCGTTCAACTCCAACATACCAAATTTGAATGTCTGTACAGTCCTTTAAAAATAGCTAAATGAAATGTTCACATGTTTCCTAACCCTCATAAAACACATGCTTCAGTCCCGATTACCTAAAGAAAAGAGAGCGCGTGAAGAGTCAGACAGATCTCAGGTCTAAGCTCACACTAGTTCACTAATTATCATGGGACATTTAATTTGAAGTGTGATTTATCATCGGACTTTCCAATGAGACAGGATTGTGAAATCTATGGTTTCAACTTAAATTCTATTTGGGACAATCTACGCAAGTAATTTCCCACACAAATGTAACCTACTAAGAATCCAGAACCGCTTCCTGGATTCAACCACTAATACGGATGTTAATTCTCTAATAATAACAACAAAAAACCCCTCTGTGTTTTTAGCAGATTGGGACAGGGGCTATTTCAGAGTGCACAAATTCTAAAAGTATATAAACACCTACAGCTTTGCCAGAAAGTACCCATGTGACTCTCGTGCGACCAGGTCTCCCAACCCCCCAAGAGGTTTCAGCTGTTGAACAGATAATGTCAGGTAATCACAACAGTACATGTTAAAGCTGGTGCAGTTCAACGCTGGCCTCCCCAGGTCCCAGATTCCTTAAAACATTCGTTCAAAACAATGGCAGCTTATGGGTACATCACGTCTCTGAGATCCAGACATTCCCAACGCTCAGGGGCCTTGGCAAAACAGGACAAAGCAAGAAGCTAAAGATCAGGTTTGGAATAGACGTTACAGACCTGAGTTATTGACAAGACTGTTGCTGACCCGACACTTGAATTGTCCTGCAAGCTGGGGGGTGTCCTTTGAGGAGGAAGATGGCACCCGAAACAGGGCAGACTGTGGGACCCCCGGAATGAGGATGGGAAGGCGTGTGTGTCCTTGGAAAGGGGGCTCCCCTGGAGTTCCCATCGGGGAATGCTGCTGCAGGGAATAGTCTTCCATGGATGTCCCAGACCCGCCTGGCCCTCCTGGGGCCGGTCCCAGGCGGCCTGTAGACTCTGCTCCCGAAGCTCCAGCCCTGCAGGCTGCTCCCAGACAGGCCGCATGCGGATCACAGACGGCGCGCGCACTGACCCTCAGCTCCCTCCCCCTTGTCTGGCTCCACAGAGCCCCTTCCTCCCTGCCCTGCACTATCCTAACCAGCGAGGTCCGTGCAGTGATGACATCGTAAGGCTCTGCAGCTGCCTCTGCACACAGCGTCCGTCCGGGGACCTAGGTCATCTCCGTTGTGTCCTGAGGCTTCACTGGCTCCCTGTGCATCCGTCCAGGGCTTGGCCTGCATGCACCGCCTGGGCCCGGGGTCTGTGGCAGCCTGGGGACACGCTGCTCCCCAGGGAGTGCCTCATCTGCAGGCTCTGTGGTCTCCGGGAACTCAGTTCATCCCCAGTGGGTGGCTGTGACTTCACGTGTGCTTGGCTCTGTGCTGGGATGTTCTCCATCCCTCGCTCGCCCTCAGGGGAGCCCCGAGATTCCGAGATCCCGCCAATCTAAGAAGCTGCGGGTGTGGGGCCCGCTGTCTGGGGAGCAGAGCCCCCCAGAAGAGTCTCCTGTCTGGGGAGCTTCCAGAGACCCCATCTGCCCCTGCTCTGCTGTAGCCGGACAACCACTCCCGGGAGGAGAGGTTCCTCTGTGCTACTGCGTAGCTGCTGGCCCTTCTCTTCATCGTCCGTGGTCCCGCGGCCGTGGCATGGGGACAGGTGCGGGGACTGACCCCTGCCCCATGCTCCACGTGAGAGGCTAGCCAAGCTACCTAGCCTCTGAGCTTCAGGCGGCTGCCTTCTCAGAGCACTTTGCGAGGTCACCTCTGGGGTCCGCTCCGGCTCTAACCTGGCTGGATTCTATGCACATGAGCATTCCCCAGACCCCCTGGGAGTACCCCACATCCAGGGCTCACGCTGGTTCCCTGGTACCCCGCCAGTGACCAACTGCGATTTCCACTCACAAAGCCTCCCCGTGGGACCCAATGCTGCATCTGCACTTGACCCTGCCTCACCCGACCAAGCGTGGCATCTACACGTGACCCCGCCCCATGGGATCCGGTGCGGAATCTGCAGGCAACCCCTCCCCACGGGACCCAGTACTGCATCTGCACGAGACCCTGCCCCACTGGACCGAGGGTGGCATCTACACGTGACCCCACCCCGTGGGACCCAGTGTGGGATCTGCACGTGACTCCGCCCCACCCAACGGAGTGAGGCTTCCGATCGCAACGTTCCCCCCATGGGACCCAGTGCGGCTTCTGTAGGTGGCCCCCCATGGGACCCAGTGCTGCATCTGTACGTGACCCTGCCCCAGCGGACTGAGCCCGGCATCTGTCTGCACACAACCCCGCCCTGTGTGCTTCTTAAACTGGCTGGAAACGGGGGTGAAGGTTTTATATGAACTGTTATGCAGAGTTTTAAATACTAAAGAAAGAGCTAGGGCAATAAGCGAAGGAGCCAGGGGAAATAACCAAAATTAAAGATGTTCAAATCAGAAGTTAGCAATGACCTAAGCTTTTTTTTTTTTTTTTTTTTAATTATGATTCCACTGCTTCCTTGGGAACTGAGAAGCCCTAGGTGGGAGAAGTTCTGATGCCTCATGCACTTCTGATGACAAGACACAGGGCCTGCTTCCACCTGGACAAGGTGCACACACGAGACTGTAGATTCTGGGATTGGGTTTTTGGGCTTTGTGCCCCCCCCCCCACACACTGTACGTGATTTCTTTTATTTTCCCTGTCTGGCTCTTCTCCCATCTTGTTGGAGGCAGGGAGGCCTCCACAGCCCAGCATGGTGCAGAGCTGCCCCCAAAAAGCTCGCGAAGGCATTGCAGACGCGAGCCGCATTGATGTGGCGGGGACACGGGCCCCAGAGTCAGCCAGACTGGAGTTTCAACTTCCATGTTTGATGGTTGTGATGTTTGTAAAGTCAGGTAACCTCGCAGTCCTGGGTTTCTTACTAGTAAACAGGAGATAAGAGGGCGCGCAGTGGTCCCCGAGGCCACGGCCGGGCCAGTGACTATCAAACGCGTAACACACGGCGTGCGCTCAATACCCGGCAGACGTCATTAACGGGATGCTCTTCTCTGAGCCCTGACACCTCCTAACAGGGAAGCCTGACATCAGCTTTATGCAGGACTTTGAAGGACCTCACGGTTCATCACTGGTGGGAATGTCCAGCCACGCTGGAGGACAGCTCGGGGGTTTCTCACAGGGCTAAACACACTGGAACCCTACGATTTGGCAATCACAGTCCTTTGTATTTACTGTGTACAGGTCCACACACAAACCGGCACTTGGATGTTTCCAGCAGCTTTATTCATAATTGCCAGACTTGGAGGCAACCAAGATGTCCTTCAGCAAGTGATGGATAAATAAACTGTGATTCATTCAGGCAATGGAATGTGATCCAGCGCTGAAAAGAAACGAGCTATCACGCCATGAAAAGACATGGAAGAACCTTAAATGCAGATCACTAAGTGAACAAGCCTTTTATCACCTCACAGGCCCAAGAGTCAGAAGTCTGGGCATGGCTGGGCCGGCCAGGGGGGCTCATCCCGGACCCAGCTCGTTCAGATCGTTGGCTGAATGCAGTTCCTGGAGGCTACAGGGCTGAGGGGCCAGTCTTCGCTCCCGGAGGCCATGGGATGAATTCTTTCCTGCGATCCCTGTGACCCCTGCAGCAGCCGTGGGTGGACCGCCCGCCTCCCTACCTGGATCCTCGCTGAGTCTTCTCTCTGCTTCGCTCTTCAGGGTGATTAGGTTAGGCCCACCAGATAAGCCAGATGCCTCCCCTTTTCTTAATTGCATCTGCAAAGCCCCTCTGGCCACACAGGGTGACACATTTAGGTTCCAGGGACTCGGGTGTGGACACCTCTGGGTGGCTCTTCAGCTCAGCACACATGAGTGGTGCCAAACTGCTGTGATTTTGATTTACTTGCTACAGCATCCGTTGTTACCCCACTACAATCCCTTCCCCATTCTCCGAGCCCTCTCCTCCTGGGAACCTTGTGGTTTAGTGGAAGTGGAGAGAAGACCCCAAGTCCACACCATGCCTCTATCCCTTTCCACGTAGATTTAGGGCAAGTTTGGGAACACTAATGCCTAAAGTGTCTCCTCTGTAAATGGGAGTAATGTTAATGTTATCTAACAGATGTTTTGAAAAGTGATTATGAGCACGTTATTGCTGGCAGGTGTTGACTCAATAAATGTCACTCTCTGCGAGGGATCTCCCTCTGCTCAGATGCCCGCTGTGTGGGGACTGCATCCACCAGCCCGTCCATGGAGGCTGTGCCTCCCCCGGCTGGGCCCCGGGCCCCTCTGAGCTTGCCCGCACTCACCGCATAGCTGGGAGCAGCCCCAAACCAGGGGTGCCTCCTCAGACCTGTAAAGACAGATGCTGAGGCATCCACAAAAATGAAGAAGGAATGGAATCCAAACATGGCCCACGGTGATGGTCGCCGTCACCCTTTCTCTCCACTGGTGGGGAGGTGAACCACTGGCTGGCAGAGCAGAGACGTGGGAGTCCCCCTCCACCAGGTAGCACCACACTGTGACCTGGGGACATGACTTGGTGGCGCCAGGACGCGTGACTGAAGAAAGGAGGGACCCCCAAGTTCAAGCCCAGGAAGCAAGAGAGCCCTCCCCTCGGCGTTCTGCTGCTCCCTGCACCTGCTCAGATCCAGGTTGGGTCCAGGAAATACGGGGAGAAAGTGATCATGAGACACCCCAGCCCTGCGTCTGCGTCCCTGACCAGGCCCTCTGTAGGCCGACCACGTGAGGCCGTGAGCGAGTCCAGGAAGCACTTGCTGTTAGGTGTTTGCTGCTCATCACAGGTAGGGGGCTGACACAGTGGCCACCTCCTTTCAGGTTTTACCCATGAACAGACGTAGGACAGGACATCGGTAATCATCTTTGTTTCACTTGTCTTAAGATAATTCCCCGCATAGAACAAGATTCTCAACAAACGTCTGGCGACTCAAGAGTGGACAACACCCCAGTGCTCACTGAAGCATCTGTGAGCATTTACCTAGGATTTTGCTCCAGGAAGCTCAGGGAGTGCCTTGCATGCATCAGGGGAGGGACATGACAGAGAGGGTCTCTGCGTCCTTCCTCCACAGGTCGGGAACAAGGAAGAGGGCGGTGAAGGCAGGGGCCCCTACCCTGGGGAGTCCCCAGTGCCCGGGGTGGGCCAGGAGCAGAGCGCGGTGACCTGCCCCAGCCCGGGGCAGGGCCACACAGACACCTGCAGAGCAGGCACGTTTACAAAGGGCCAGACGGTGGGAGAGCACATCTCAGAACCTGGCGTTCCCAGCTGCCCGGTCCACGGTGTCCAGCAGGTAGCGATGCTCTGGGAATCTGGACCAAAGGGAGCGAGCTATGGGCCCCAGCACTCCAGAATTCTCTCAGGGAAGAGAGAGTCCCCCCACGTTTGGCATCCGAATGTGTGTGTCTCTGTGCGTTTTAGGTTTTCATTTTTAATTTTGCACAGCACCAAATGTTAAATGATTTTCTTCAGTCGAGTTGCAGGGGTCTGTGCTCTCTGATAAACGGGGCAAGCGTTTTGTCAATGGCTCTCCCTCCTAGAGATCCGTCATGTGCCTTTCTTCACGTCCCAGACAGGATGGGAATTTGATAAGCAAAGACGCCCTGGGGCAAGCTAGTAAAGATGGCCATTATCATTTATTAAAGCAGGTGCTGAATGAATTGGTCTTTTTATCGCAACGTGGATTTACGGTGCAATAGGCTATCCATTTTTCAATTTGGTGCACTGCCGCTAATAAATTAACAGATGTCGATTGATTTTTTCCCCTCCAGTCCCCTGTTTACACCTGACAGTCCCTACTTTATAGCTGAGCAATTATTTGAAGTTATAAACATTATAATTAGCAATTTTTTAATTAGGCTGACAATTAACAGGAGATTTGCAAAGCTGCTAATTTGACATGTCCTACTCTCTGTGGTGTTTATGTTAACCACAACTTGAGTGAATTCAATTGAACAGAACCATGGTGTCTGGGAAAAAAATCAATCTCCGAAGAACCTTTTCTCCCACTTGGCTAGCGCCATGGCAGTTCAGACAGGGAAGTGGGAATTCAGCGTGATTTCACAAGATAACAACATGAACAATGTGAGCCGAACACAGAACGGTGCATGAGATGGAGCTCAAAGTGCCCCACACAATAGCGGTGTGCTTAACTGCACTGAGGTGGGGACTTGGGTCTCGCAGAGCTCGAGCAGCATTGTGGCTGTGTCCCAAACGGCGCTGCCTGGGCCCGGGGGCCTCCAAGACCCACGTCACCAGGGCGTGCTGCAGCCAGCCGGCAGAGCCAGAGACAGAGAGAGACAGCTAGAGAGAGACAGAGAAGGAGACAGAGAGGGAGAGCAAGAGAGACAGAGAAGGAGACGGAAAGAGAGAAGAGGGAGAGAGGAGGGAGAGAGAGAGAGACAGAGAAGGAGAGGGAGAGAGGGAGACAGAGAGACAGAGAAGGAGACAGAGAGAGAGGGGAGAGACAGAGAGGCAGAGAAGGAGAGGGAGAGAGACAGAGACAGAGAAGGAGATGGAGAGAGACAGAGAGGGAGAGAGACAGAGAGAGAGAGGGAGAGCCAGAGAGACACAGAGAGAGACAGAGATAGAGACAGAGAGAGAGGGAGACAGAGAGAGGGAGAGAGAGAGAAACAGACAGAGACAGAGAGAAACAGAGAGACAGAGGGAAAGGGAGAGGGACAGAGATAGAGACAGAAGGAGAGGGAAAGCAAGAGAGAGAGAGATAGAGACAGAGAAGGAGAGGGGGAGAGAGAGGAGGGAGAGAGGGAGAGAGAGAGACAGAGACACAGAGACAGAGGAGAGGGAGAGAGAGGAGGGAGAGAGGGAGAGAGAGACAGAGACAGAGAAGGAGAGGGAGAGAGAGGAAAGAGAGAGAGACAGAGAGACAGAGATAGAGAGAAACAGAGAGAGACAGAGATAGAGACAGAGAAGGAGAAACAGAGAGAGACAGAGGGAAAGGGAGAGGGACAGAGATAGAGAGGAGAGGGAGAGCAAGAGAGAGAAGGAGAGGGGGAGAGAGAGGGAGAAACAGAGACAGAGGGAGAGAGAGACAAAGAGACAGAGACAGAGAGACACACACAGAGACGGTGTCTCTGGGTTTCCAGGGACTCTGCTGTCTTTCCACCGACGTCTTCCAAACAAAGGCAGGTTTCGTGATTCTGGACTTCTGATTCTGGAGTTCTAAAGGTGCCTTCAGCACACAGGAAAGACTGCACCTAAATCCTCGGAAGTCTTCGGAGATGTGTTCCTTGGTAACTGTTTCTGGCGAAGGAGAGGCCACCTTCGGCGAGGTCGTCTGTCCCGGAGGCTGCGTTCTGGGGCCAACAGGCACGGTGTACGGTCTCCATACTCTGCCAGAGGCCAGAGAGAAGCAGGAGAGAAGAAAGGATTTGAAAATTTTCCATAAGATGAAAAAAGAGTGTTAGTTTTATTGCAGTTTTAAAAAGAGGAAAGAAATCTTAAACATGAAAGAATATGGATTTTTCAAATTCCATGAGTTTTTCCTTGCTCTCTTTTCCCAGGGCTAACTACACTTCCTATTTGCAGTGAGGAACCCGTTAATTAAAATCTGCAGCACGGCCAGAAACAGCTTATTGAAGCTGAGATATGCCGTTGAGCTTTGATTAATAACATCTCACTGCTTTCATATTTTTTTTTTTTTTGAGAGTCTAGATCTGAAGAAATTCGCCACCTAGAGATGCAGAATCGGAAGACCTCCTCTGAGCCGTGCACTAGTCGGCACTCTGTGCTACGCATCGCCAACAAATGTAGTGTTTCGGAACACGGCATCGCTGCATCAGATAGGGGCCCCGTGCTCTGCGGGCACCTTTGCTCAAAAACAAAACAAAGCAAGAAGTCACGGACAGCACTGCTTCGGGAAGAGGGAGTTTCTAGATTCTGTCCTCCAGCCGCCCGCTTCTCAACGGCTGAGCCCTGCCTCCCCCGGCCTCTGAGGCCTCCACTCCTGGGCGGGGCAGAAACCCCAGCGCCCTCTGCACTGCAGGAGAACCCCTCCTTGGGAATGATTTTAAAATGCTCCCCTATGACAAGCACGTTACTTTAAAAGTATAAGTTATAATCATTACAACTAATTTGATATCAGTGAGCACATTCGCCTGAAGAAATTGTGTTCTAGGACAGAGTCAAATTCCATGCTCATGGTTTGGCCAACTTGCAAATGTGAAGAATTCAAGACCTTGTGTGAAATCAAGGATAAAGGATACATCGGTCACAAAGTTGTACACTTTATAACATCGGGAAGCATAGTGTTCTGTGTGGTCAAGGGCCATCCCTCCCTCCCTCCGTCTCTGTCTCTCTCTGGACCCATGACGGGTGACAGGTGATGGGCAGTGGGGGGCCTGAGAATCCCAGTGTCTGAGGACATCTGGGGTCCTCAGATAAGCATAAATTGTTTGGAACACTCTATTAATGCAAAGGAAATTATTTTAAAATACTTTCCAGGATATTAATTGATACCCATATGGGCAATCACGTGCCTTCAAAAGGTTAGATCATTATGTGTATTCTCTTTAAAAAAGCAGGGAAGTAAGTAAAACATCCCAGAAATATATTAATAAAAATGCTTAAAATTTTATATAGCACTTACTCTTAAACCGCTTCATTTCAGTTACCTGAAAAATTAAATCCATGCATTATTTTATGGAGATGAAGTAGACCCATGAGATACCATTGTGCGTGCGTGATCCACACCTCCCACAGAGGACGCGCAGTTTCTTTCAAAGCAAGAGTTACAGGAACCTACTAATTCATAAGCTTGTATGTAATGTGAATGTGGAAAATGGATCTCTTCCCTTCCTCCTCTGGGGGCCTTGACGCTCACGAGGCTGCTTAAGAACAGAGATGCAATCTAAAACATTCCAGCAGGTGCTGGCCATCAGGCAGACCCTGGCCACGGGGCTCCCGGGACAGCCTCCAGTGGGGGGGCGCTTTCCTAACAAGCTGGGGACTCTCCAGCTTTCACTTGTTTTAAACCAAATTCCTCGTTTCCTAATGTGGTTTTGCACATCCTCTCTGGAATCAATCAAAATGTACTCTGACGTAGGGAAGAGATGTTTGAGAGTAGGAGAGATGTCAGCGCCCCTTTATCTTGACAGTTAACGACGCGGGACACTTTGGCAATGGTTCTGTTAGAATAAATGGCTGATCAATAGCAAATTAGTTACAATTAAGTGCACGTTGCAAGGTGTTTGCCGCTTACCGATTAAGTGCTCACTTCTAATGGGCCCAACGAGCGTTACAGAAACCACCTGGGAAGGCGCGTCTGAGAACAGCTCAGATGCCTACTTCCGACTCTCCGGGCTTCCTTCGGTCCAGGTGGTGAAGGAAGGTGCCAAGGCCCCTTCAGGCCTTGGGGTTTCCAAAGTGCACCTGATTTCTGCAGCACTGTGCTTTGTTTTAGGAAAATCTCCAGTTCTAGCACTTTCTCTCTCAGGACTATGACAAGTGGTCACAGATTGAGCGGCTGGGCTAACAGCCACTGAGCTCCCCAAGAATGCCCCTAGAGAAGGCCCAAGAAGAAAGCTGCCATCCATCGTCCCCTGCACCTCTGCCCCCAGGATCAGGACAGACTTCTTTGGACCCCTGCAGTCCCCCTGTCACTCCAGCCCCACCCTGGGGGGAACATCACATTGTAACCGAGTGAAGGACCATGAAACACAGTGTAGCTCTGCGTGCCGAGCACAACCCTGAAGTGTCACAGTGGGTGGCCACGTGGACACATAGGGTCACCCTGAGAGCTGGGGTCTGGACCCCCACCAGCCCCAGAGAGGGGATTTGTAGAATCGGGAAGAAGGAGGGGGACTGCAGTCTCTGAGCTCAGGCCCCTAGAACTCTCCGTTGGCAGTGTCCCTGCTGTGATCACTAAGATGGGGCTTCGTCCCCTGAGTGCTGGCTGGGTGTCAGGAGCAGCCTCTATGGGGACACATCCCGGACATGAGAGACGTTGCCCTCATGGGACTCATAGCCCAGAGGGAGTGGGCGGACGGCAAGCAATACACAAGACTCTGCACATCGAGGGCTGTGCAAGCTGGGGGAGCCGGGTAGGGCTCGGGGCACAGGGACATGGAGGGAGTCAAGCTTGAAATGTCGAGGTGTGGCGGGCAGCCCTGAGGAATGGCAAGGTCTCAGCAAGGACCCGAAGGAGGTGACCTCTGGCCAAGGGGAGCAGGGGGAAGTAGGTGGGAAGCAGAGACCAGCACACGTCAGAGCAGGGTGCTGGAGAGAATGGGGCAGGGGTGTGGACAGTCCACCCAGGGCCCTGTAGGACACCGTGAGGCCTGGGGCTTCTGTTCTGAGCAACGCGGGGAGCCCTTGCTGGGTTCCAGCCACAGAACCCTCTGACTTGGATTTCAGAAGGGTCGAGTTGGAGCTTGGACAGGTGGAGCGACATGGGGTGGGGGTGCATCTGCAGGGGGTGAGGGGCTGGGTGGGTGGGGTGACCTGGGGGTGGCTGCAGGGGGTGAGGGGCTGGGTAAGTGGGGTGACCTGGGGGTGGCTGCAGGGGGTGAAGGGCTGGCTGGGTGGGGTGCCCCAGGGACAGGTGGCTGCAGGGGGTGAGGGGCTGGGTAAGTGGGGTGACCTTGGCAAGGCTGTGCAAATGGGCAAGGCTGTGGGCGTCTACTCCGCCATGAGCTGGAGCAGCAGGGTCTCGGTTTCCCTGTGCTGGTCATTCCAGGATTAGCCTGGGAAACTTGCCCTGCTCCTCACCGCCTTGGGTTAAGGACACTGCAGGTGGAGGTGCATGACACAGGTCCCAGGAAGCCAGTTAGTATCATCAGGACGGTGATCATTACTTCTTTCATCCATGAATTCATGCGCCTCCCCCCGCTGTACCTGATGCGGCTTGGGCCCCTGAGCTGAGCCTCGGGGGATCGCCAGGTAGGAAGGACATGCGTGGGCAGGAGGCGCTGTCCAGGGCAGTCAGCAAGCGGCCAGAGCCGGTGGACTGAGACTCGGGGTCACACAGCTTCTGTGGAGCCCCCTCGCCCTCGGAAAGCACACGCAGCCTCCTCTCCAAGGGGCCACGCTGGCTTGTGGCGTTGTCATCCTTGAGCACAAATGGGGCACGAAACACCATTCTTGTTGACCGAGAAGCATATTAAAAACCATCCCACTTAGGTTTCAAAGGAAAAGGAAATCAATTCTTTATCATCAGTTCAATCTATCAGGACTTACTGAGGCTGTTAGGCACATGGCATTGGCCTGGCCCTAAATTCACAGAAATTCAACAGTATTTTGCTGAAGACAAGACCAGGTGCGTGGAGCCTGCATACCCACAGCTGTCTCGCCTGGAGACACGAAGGACGTCAGTCTAATGAAGATTACCGAGCCGAGACTGAGCATCAACACTAGGCCCTCCTGGCAAAGCCCCAGGGCGGCCTCCCACCGCAGGCCCCCTGTCCCTGCCGGCGCCCTGCAGGCACCGCCCCTCCTCACCCCCTCCCGTCTGTCTCTGGGCCCAGGCAGGTGCCCACAGGGTCCCCCGCACGGCCTGCCTCTCATCATGGCGCAGCCTGACGTGGACATAGACGCACCTGCTGCTGGAATCCGGATAAGCACTTGCAAGCCCCGTGACTGAGTGAGCGAGCACTTCCTGGAAGACGTGGGTCTGGAAAGGTGGGTCAGAACAAGCCAGGCGAAGAAGAGCCGTTCTGTACTGCATACAAATCCATAGTAACAGGTTACTAGGATTCAGTGACTGGTTGTTATGTTTATTTGTCTAATCCAGGACTAAAAATAGAGGGGAAGGTAGGAGGGGACTCCCCTAGAGAGAAAACAGGTGGTCAGGATCAACAACACCGGGTCATTATCAAAAACAGGTCATAAATAGCTCTTGTTGTCCATGCTGTCCAGTGCTGGGAAAACCATCTGCAGACGGCTGAATTTCAGGAGGACAGGAAAGGCCCAAAGAGAAACAGAAGAGAGAAATGTGCTGCCCCCGAGGGCAAAAGGAAAAGAATGAACAATAACATAATAGTAACCCCAATCCCATCAAGTGATCCTTACTGGTAATAGACACTCCTGCACAAAGGATCCCTCTGTTAGAGAATAACACCATAGAACAAAACTGGGTATTTATAATTCACGGGTCCTCCCTTGGGAGCACATATCATCGGGGAAGAAAGGAATACAAAAGGGAAAAGCCTGGCCCGGGGTACAAAGTGGGTGCTACCAGCTCCAGGGGACCCCAGAGCCAGCCTGAGTGTCACGCTGGATGGAGGTCAGTCCCTTCTGCTCACGGCCCTGTCCCTGCAGGCCACGTACACAGCGGGTGTTCAAGCAGCTGCCCTGGGCAGCCTACACCATCATCACGGGCGGCTGAGCTCTCTGGGCTGGGGCCAGAGCAGGGGTGGGGGCAGAGATGCCCCCCTTTCCTGGGAGAGTGGCCAGAGGGCCAGAGTAGATTTCATTGCATATTTCGTGTGCTCCCAGAGCATCAGAGATACCAGGTACCAGCCGGAACTCACCCACCACAACTAGAAAAATACAGGGTCCAGGTCGTGGGAGGAGCCATGCTGATGCCACAGCCTGATGACGGGACAGTCTGCTCCCATTTAAATCCATTTTATTCATCGTGTGTTACTGTTAACTTACTGTTTGTCCCTTACCTTTGCTTTTTTTTTTTTTTTTTTCATTTTTTTATTCTTATGTTAATCCCCATACATTACAATATTAGTTTTAGATGAAGTGTTCCATGATTCATTGTTTGTGCACAACACCCAGTGCTCCATGCAGAATGTGCCCTCCTCAATACCCACCACCAGGCTAACCCATCCTCCCACCCCCCTCCCCTCTAGAACCCTGTTTGTTTTTCAGAGTCCATCGTCTCTCATGGTTCGTCTGCCCCTCCGATTTCCCCGCCTCATTCTTCCCCTCCCGCTACCTTCTTCTTCTTCTTCTTCTTTTTTTTTTCCCCTTAACATATATTGCATTATTTGTTTCAGAGGTACAGATCTGAGATTCAACAGTCTTGCACAATTCACAGCGCTTACCAGAGCACATACCCTCCCCAGTGTCTATCACCCAGTCCCCCCATCCCTCCCACCCCAACCCCCACTCCAGCAACCCTGTTTGTTTCCTGCAATTAAGAATTCCTCATATCAGTGAGATCATATGATACATGTCTTTCTCTGTTTGACTTATTTCGCTCAACATATTACCCTCCAGTTCCATCCACGTTGTTGCAAATGGCAAGATCTCATTCCTTTTGATGGCTGCATAATATTCCATTGTATATATATACCACATCTTCTTTATCCATTCATCTGTCGATGGACATCTTGGCTCTTTCCACAGTTTTTACCTTTGCTTTTTATCCGTATTTTTCTTGATTGTTTCTCACGAACTGACATTTCCAACTGATCGTTTCCTAAGATAACATTTAAACGATAAGCATTTGAAACGGAGGGATGAGACAGCAGTGTCTCCCACTGAGAGCAGGCTCCCTTCTCCCACTGCGGTGCACTGGGGTCCCCGTCCAGGCGGGAACCCCCCGGGGACAGCCAGGGCGTAAGGCTCCTAAGGCTTACGGAAGAAACAGCACACATCATGGCACCCCCTGTTTCTTCATATTTATTTTTTAATTTAATTTTTTACTACTTAATTGAGGTCTGACTGACATGTAAAAAAGTTGCATGTGTTTAACGCAACTCGGTGAGTTTGGGGGCACGTACACACTGTGAAACCACCACCACCAAGGCCACGGCATGCCCATCAGCTCCCGGAGCCCCCTGCAGCCCCTTTGATGGTGGTGGGGATTTTCCGGTAAGAACACTTCTGCAGGACCTGCTCTGTAGCAGCTTCCAAGGACACAGCACGGCACAGTCACCCAGAGTCAGCGTGCTGGACGGGAGATCCCGAACCTGCTCGTGGGGTAGCTGGAGGCCTGTGCCCTTGGAGCTGCTCTCCCCGATCTGCGACCCCAGCCCCCGCAAGCGCATCTGTTCTCTTAGACTCCTCGTAGCAGTGGGACCGAGCACCCACTCCCTCCTTGGATCGATGCACCCGGGGCCACTGAGCTCTGGACCAGGCGCCCACTTTGCCTCCTAGATTGTCATTCGTTGCGCATAAAGCGCGTCTCTACCATGGCAGTAACTACCAAGGACAGTGTCTGCCCCGAGCTTCTGTGTTGGGAGAGGTGCGTTTAGTTAACCAAGGACTGGCCTCCGGATTCATGAGCAACGGGGCCAGACAGGTGAAGCGGCTTTGTCACCACGCGGGGCAGCGGGCCATCGCGGAGCTGAACAGGAGGATGGCAGCCCCCCTGTCCCGCGCAGTCCGCCGTTGTGTTGCGCTGTCTCAGGGACCTGCCGGGCAGGGGCCCAGGCGTCTCCGCAAGCCTCGCAAGACCGAGGGCGGCGCACAGCGGGGGCGAGCCTGGCGCGGCTCCAGAAAGACCCTCCTCCTGAGCTGTTTGTGTGAGCGTGGGAGGGCTGCTAATGGGGCCGTCAGACCCGCTCATTGGCTAGTAGTTTAATTAGGCCCATCTGGAGGGGGCTGCGCAGACTGTCACAGCTCCGAACCTGGCAGAGAGGTCCTTTGTCACCCTGCGGCCCCTGACCGCACGCTGGCGTCCCAGCGCCATGCGGAGCCCAGCCCTGCTTCACGTGGGAAGGGCTGGGCGTCGGCGGCGCGTGGGGTTCTCCTTGGCACCAATGAGAAACACGCCACCCCCGGCATCCTTGAGAGGGTCTTGTCCAGGAGAGACAGGGCTTCTGAAGGTCGGGCTGATACTGTCCTGTCAGCCCCGTCCTGATAGAGTGGAGGGCTGCCTCCACCACACTCACACTCACACAGTCATTCACACACTCACACTCATTCACACACTCACTCTCCCACTCACAATACTCTCACGCTCACACACACTCTCGCACACTCACACACACTCTCATACTCACACACTCTCACATTCACACACACTCACACTCACTCTCTCTCTCACACATACACACACACACACACACACACACACACCTGTCAGCGTTTCCTGGTGGCCTTACCACTTAAGGAGTCCGACCCATGGTGACGATGAATCCTCCAGGCATGTGTGGCTTTTTTAAGCATGTCACATTCGCCCCCGGCCGCCGTGGAGTCAACGTCCAGCCTGTGTGCCCCCTAGGGAGGCTGCGGCAGGCGGGGGGAGGACCGGAGTTCCCCGTCCTGAAGGGTCCTTGCTGACAGTCATGGGGGGAGGGTGCCCCATGGAATTTAGGAGAGTAAGGGACACTGTGGGGGCCGAGAGCGGGGGCTGTGCACACGGTTAGACCCCCTTAGCTGACTAGTCCGTGCTGGGGGCTGTATGAAGTCCACAAAGGAGAGACGTGGGGAAAACTTGCATTTTTAGGTGGTTGTGATTTTTCAGATGTGCGTTACAGGTCTGCTCCCCTGGCTGTATTTACGAGGCCGCTTCCTTATTCTTCTCCCTTTTGTGTCTTTTCGTTTATCACAAGCTCTAAAGTACTTGGCTTGTCAAGCACTTCATCAAGGTGTTTACACCTCCTCAGGATGAGGATGCTGACTCGAGTAAAAGCAGGTCCCACCGCACACCCGCCACGCTCTTCCCGTGTAAGTGGACAGGCCAGAGCCAGTGGCTTCTGCAGACTGTAGGGCTTCTCCTCCTTGCAGAAAACGTGGATGCGTATGAGCCCACCTGCAAGTCCCCTACGTGTGGAGCTGCTGGTTAACGGTGCGGAGGACGTGGGACAAAGCTGGGTATGGAGAGCCCCAAAGCAACTATCACAGATTCTGTGGGGCGCCCCCTCTGCACGAAGCAGCAAATAAACACTATTTTAATTGCCCACCAATATCTGACATTTTAAAGTCCCTCAGAGAGAGTCTGTAGCCGTGTCCATAATCAGATGACGGTACAACACTTCACAAGCAGTCCCCCCTCTCGTGGGAAGGTCAGCCTTGCCGCTAGGCTGGTCGGCTGGAGACCATGTGCACGAACACTGTCCCCAGTGTGTCCACGGGCTCTCAGAAATTGCCTTAGGTGATTTGGGGCATGATCTGTGCAGGTCACAGATCTGAGAACTTGGTAGAACCTAAGAGACCATCTTGCCTGTGCCAAAACATACTTTCTACAATGGTACAATGAAAACCAAGCAGATCCGAGGGTCGGTGAGCTGGAAGGTGGAGGAAAAGCCAGGAGAGGGAGACTCGCCCCATGGGCTCCAGGGCGCTTGTCCCGTCAAACCCAGACAAGCTCCCCACTGCATCTGGCAGTCTGACCCAGGTTACAGGATTATTTCCTGTGAAGTCGTCAACAAATTAGAATTCCTTCAATGGCCCACCTCTCCTATAAAGCATCAGCAAGCAGTGGAAATACATGTTAACGCTATATGGAGCACGTTAGCTGCCGGGAAGCAATGGGGACCGTAGAAGGGAGACGTTATTGCGGTCAGGACAGAGGCAAACGTGGTGCAGGCCGGGGGCGTGTGTATGAGAGGACAGAACAGGCCATTCCCTGTGTGCGGGGATACCCAACAGCGCACTCACAGTCCTGTCGGGCCTCGGAAAGTCTGTGAGTGGCGCTGATCTATGTATGACGTGGTCTCAAACCGAATGAGTCACTGGGCACAATTCAAAGGCCCTAAGAAAAATTCTCCTTTTTCTGAAACTTGTTCCACATGAGCAAATTATGTCGATCTGAGCAAGTATGAATGGGAAGGTCCCAGTCACTGTGATTCAGTTTAGATCTGAGAGCTGGGTCCACGATTTGGTGGCTTCGCCTGAGCATCTGCCTTCTGGAGATTGCTCTAAGTACCACCTATGATGACATCCTGTAACGCACCTTGGCAAGGTCAGGTGTGAGCAGTGCCCCAGCCCGTGGTGAAGAGGTTACAGGCTGTGGGTCACCACACACACCACGTAAGCACTCCACGCGTGAGTTTCCCCTGGGAACCGGATTGTGGCGTGTCCTCTGTGGAGCAGTGGTGTTGGCTCCACTGCCCAGGGCTAGAAGATGCTTCCAACACAGACGACATATAAAAAAGCAGTCCGTAAAGGGTTCTCCCTTTGCTTCCGAGATG